AAAAAAAACCGCTTTAACAGTTTTATAGTGGAAGATGGGATAGGAATAATAAAGTGTTACAGTTGCTATGATGCATTTTTGCCTAGTGTATACAGGGAGGAGTCAAAGGCAGTAAGCAGTTCCATTTTGAAATAATCTGGATCTTAAGTCTAAAGTTCTTTGAAACACCTATCCAATTACAGTCACTTAATATTTGGATCATTTAATTGAAGTATTTTCCCATTTTTTTCCCCCCACTATCTGCTTTGTTCATGTATTCTCAGTATAGAATTGTGGCTTTCTGTAGTAGGAAGCGACCTTAGACGTGAGCCCTACTCCTTTGTTGAACAGATGGTTTAAAACAAGGATCAGCAGACTGTGGCTCATAGGCCAACTTGCTCACAAGCTGAACAGTTATATGTTTTTAAATTTTTATTTATTTATTTTTAAAGATTTTATTGGGGAAGGGGAACAGCCAAGTTGTTGTCCTTCAATCTTAGTTGTGGAGGGCGCAGCTAGCTCAGCTCTAAGTCCAGTCGCCATCTGACTGCCCGTTGGCAGCTCAGCTGAAGGTGCTGTGTTCAATCTTAGTTGCTGGGGGGCGGCGGTGGGGAGGGGGCAGCCTACCATCCCATATGGTAGTGGAACCGGCAACCTTGTTAAGAGCATGCACTCTCACCAGCTGAGCCATCTGGCCACTTGTTGGCAGCTCAGCAGCAGCTCAGCTTGGGTGCAGCTCACTGGCCCAGGAATCGAACCGGCGATCCTGTTGCTCAGACCTCGTGCTCTTAACCAACTGAGCCACTCGGCCAACCCCAATGAATGTTTAGATAAAAAAAACTTACAGTAAAGGACACATTGCCATTAATCCCCCTCAAAATACTCCCCCTCACTTCAAACACATTTATCTCATCATTCTGCCACTTTCTGAAGCAGTTCTGGAAGTTCTCTTTCGTGAGTGTCTTTAGCTGCGTTGTGGCTGCCTCGATGTCCTGAATCATTTTGACTTTGAGGAAAAGGTAGAAGTTGCATGGTGCCAGATCCCATGAATAAGGTGGATGAGGATACACCATAATGTTTTTATATTTGACAGAAATTGCTGTACCAGAAGTGATGTGTGACACGGAGCCTTTCCGTTGTGATCAAAAACTATGGTGAATGCTGCTGCCGAGTGCCATCCAATGGGAAGGGAGGGATCTTCAATATGGGAAGTGGTGCATTGAATCTTAGTAGCAGTGTGTGACAAGTTTCAACTTGTTCAGTGCAGTCAGTCGGGTATGAGCTACAGTTGAGAGAAGGTGTGTTTTAAAGTGTGCCGTAAATCATGGATCATGAACAATGCATTAACATGAAATGGGCAAACGATTTCATCCTCCATTATGACAATGCTCTGTCACATCAATTATGGTATGGTAATTTCTGTCAAATAAAAGCATTATGGTGTGTCCTCATCCACCTTATTCATTGAATCTGGCATCGTGTGACTTCTGGCTCTTCCCCAAAGTTAAAATGACCATGAAAGGTAAACATTTTGAATGGATTCAGGACATCAAGGCAGCCACAACAGTGCAACTAAAGACACTCACGAAAGAGGACTTCCAGAACTTAAGAAAATGGCTAGAACAATGGGATAAGTGTGTTTGAAGTGAGAGGGAGTATTTTGAGGGGGATTAATGGCAATGTGTCTTTTATTGTAATACATTTTTTTGGTTTAAACATTCACTGTATTTTCTTTATCACACCTCATATATAAAATTCAAATTTTACTATCCACAAAGAAAGTTTTTTTGGAACATCACCACCACTCATTTTGACCTGGCTGTTCTAGTACTACTGTGATTAAATTAAGCAGTGTGACAGAGACTGTACGGCATACGAAGCCTAAGACGTTTACTATCTGACCCTTTACAGAGAAAGTCTGTTGACCCCTGGATTAAAAGATTGTAATTTTTACTAGGACTCCCAGCAAAACTGGGAGTAGAGCCTATGTCTCAAAAGCTAGTGCTTTTTCACGCCAAGAATCTCAGTATAATCTGTAATTTCTGTGTNAGTTCAAGATTTTCTAGTTTTCTGTCTAAGTAGAGGGGTCCCTATCATTAAAATAGGTAAGAGCAGATGTGGGGTGTTACCATCACAAGTTCTGTTTCAGATACGACTTTGAGATGCTTAAGCAGCATTCAATTAGACAAATATGTGTTTGGAGCTCAGAGAAATAGATGTGGGAGTCTCCCAATTAATATCTGAAGTCATGGAAATGTTGGATTTCCTGGGGAAAGGAGTGAGATGGTGGCAACCCAGGCAGAGAATTCAGGTAGGCAGTGTCACAAAGTACTCCACCTTCTAAGTGTTTCAAGAAAGCAATCAAAGGCTTCATACAGGTCAAGTGAAGGCTGAAAGTGTCTAGTGAATTTCACGGTCACTAGTGACCTTAACAAGTGATCCTCCACAGATGAAAAAGAAAAACAGCTGAAAAAAGGGATAAGAAGTAAAACGCCATAAAAGTTTTTGTGTAAATCACTCGAGACATCTGGCTGTAAAGAGAGAGGGAAGGATAGGGAGTAATTGGAGCAGAATGTGTGAGCCTAGCCACAAGTGGAGTCTAGAAACGAACAGTGAGTAGAATTAGTAATTGAAGATGCAGGTAAGAAAGAACAATCAATGAAGCAAGACTCTAAGGCAGAAAGCAACAAAATCCGGAACACTTATCGAAGAGATTGGCTTTTGATGGAAGAAAGGTCACTTTCTGTTATATCACGAAGAAGAAAAGAGTATTTATGCAGTGAAATTTAAAAGAGCATTCCTGACTCTTGGCAAAAATAGTTTGTAGGTTTGGTTCAGTTATTTTTTTTACATGAAAAACTTATTTGAATGATATGGGTCAAGTGAAAGTAGGCAGTCAAACTCCACAGTAGCAATCAAACTACATCTTCACGACTAGCTCTCTAGCAT